GGTGGTTTGTTGTGACTATGTCCCATATCGTTTTCTCGAAGGCCTAAGTACATTTGTACTTCATTTTACTGAGTAATTTTGACCAGAACTCTAATCTGCTTGATTTCTTGCTCGGGGATAGGCCTCTTTAAACGACAAGTGCGGTAATCAGAAACATCGGGCCGCCATTGATTGTTTTTCATCACCCAAAGGCTAAATAACAATGGGAGTTTCCATTATTCTAGGAGTCATATGCAGTGAAATTCCATTTGTTGAAAATATGAGAGATATGTAGTCTCTATGCAATAATCAATTCTGAGTTGAAGTCAATACCGTCTGAGGGATTTACGTCCCCGCATTTGCTTGGGGACGCATAATCCCTCAGACGGTATTGACTTCAATTCAAAATGGTAGTGGCAGTTTGAATGTGGCCCATAAAATGGCACGCGGTGGCCAGCCGATGTCCAAGTCAGTGCTTTTATTCTCCCAGATGAGTATGGTACCAATTTACCGAGCTTTAAAGATGGAAGGTTCGGTTGGCCTGGGCGGATATCGATCCGGTATTCTGACCCGTGACCGTGCATGTGTGATAGTGTGCCAGTTGCCACTATAGCGCTACCGACTCAAATTCTGTTTAATTGAATCTATAACTTGGTCCTATCTTTTTTCAGAGTGGACTAAAAAATAAGTTCTTATTGAATCAGATAAAGATGGATTGTGATATGCGAAAGATGGGGTATCTTGAGCAGGGATAAAGAATTGTTCATCGTTGATAGCTCCCTTTCACACTCGTTCTTCCATAGAAAGGGCACAAACCTAAAATAGAAAGAGGCATTTTCCAGGAACATTTTCTTATGAGCTCATCTGGTCTTTTCCCATGGCTTTCAGTTATATGATCCCCATTTCGTTTCAATAATTCCTTTTTTTCCATTTTCAATTTTGGTTGTAATTCTCGCTACTTTGCACTGTTTATGACGAACGGTTGTTTTCTTCGGAAGAAAGGGGTGAGCTGTCTGTTTTGATAGAGTGGCTGCTATTTGTTGACTTTTGCCATCTTCTGCTGCGACATCCATTTTCTGGCTCATTAGATCTGTCCGGAAATTCTCATTTTCTGTAAACTCGCTTCACTTTTTTTTTGCTAAAAAATCCGGTTTTAGGATGGGTTTTTTGTACACGCTGATCCGGACGGTGCTATTCAGACTTCAACAACTCGTTTGGACAACGGCCACTGTCATCTCATTGATAAAAGACCGTATTCTGTATGGTAGCGAGTGCTTCAAACCGAAGGAGCACCCGAAACCCAAATGCCTGGAGGGTTGGGATGACCAATATATTCAGTTGAAGGTAATTTTGAATTTTTACGCTACGCAATTTCTTGAGGCTAAAGCATTTGGCGAAATTGTGTCCTAGGAAACACCTGGGACGAAATTTTCAATTCAATCGAGTTGCTGATAAGCGGGGAATCCTATGATGGGCGTGGTTGATTGGGGTCAACGTGGGAAGCCTATTTCCTCCCTTCTCCCAGTAGATGTTCAACCTTGTTCGTACGAGTCGCTGTCAACTAAAAATCAGTTCCCATAGGTCCTGGAAATTTGGCTTGGGAATTATTCAGCTCCGTGTTCACTGCTTGACCCGGGGGTCATTCTTTACCGTCATTGCGTTCCTACAAGTTCATTCCCTTTCATGGAAAAGCCTTTCCAGTCAATATTCTCTCCCAAAGCGCGTTACCGGTATATGATCTGTGGGTCATTTTCCATGATCATGCATGCTTTTTAATTTTTTCCAATCCTCAATCTAATCAAAGAAAGGAAAAGCTTGCGACGCAGTCGATCTGTTCCTATCCCTATCCCCCCTCCCTCCCTCCCTCCCCTTGTCTCTTTACTATTGTGATGGCAGTGTAAACTCATGAACTGCTCATGAACTCATGATTTTTATTTATTCCTTATTTATGTTGATCTATTCTGATTAACAGACTGATTATCGCTTTTTGTTCAGACTGTTCGTCTACACTATGTTCAAACTGGAGCCGAAAATAAAGATCTTTTGTTGATGCTTCACGGTTTTCCTGAATTTTGGTATTCATGGCGGTATCAGCTGAGATATTTCGCTGATAGATTCAGGTGAATTCGCTTCATTGTTATATTATTGGCTTATCGACTCTTTCCATCATTCCGAGATGAAGCGAAAGATTAAGCTCAGTAATGGGGCTGCGTTGGTAATTTCCCATGCTTACTGTCACTGGAAGTTTTTTCAACTTTTTTCATAGCTCTGTACTTGATGTTGTTTTTGACTTTGTCTTGTTGTTGCTGTTGTTGTTAGTTGATTAATTTGTCAGTTAAATGTAATTAATAAGAAGTTGAATCAACATTTTTTAGGTGTGTGGCAGTTGACCAACGAGGCTATAATCTTTCTGATAAGCCAAAAAATGTTGAAGACTATAATACTGATCTACTCGTGAATGATATCAAGGAACTGGTGGAACTTCTTGGTGAGAACTTCCAGTTAGTATTTAATTTATTTATTTCTTTACTCATTTAATTATTTACTTATTTATTCGGATTATATCCTTCTTTTCCCATTTTTTATTCAAATTAATCGCGTATCGTGATTTAATGACACTGTATGCAGTGGCAATGATTCAGTGAGTTGGATATAGGTGCTGCTTCAGCCAAATTGGGTAGCCCTTACCTGGGGTACTCCAGTAGCATTCCCACATCATGCCAAAATGTATTTCAGTCAGCTTTTTTCTGTTTCCCAGCCAAGTCTTCCACAAAGCGTTCGATCCCGAAATTTTGAGGTCTAAGGTCTTTCTGTATTGCTATCCTTGAATTTTTCTAAAAGTGTACTAGGCAGGTATTCAAATGTGGTATAGAAGTAACATCTGAAAACGTTTTCCAGGTTACTCGAAAATCTACTTAATGGGCCATGACTGGGGAGCGATCATTGCATGGAAGGTGAGTAGAATTGGTACCATTCGTTCTGGGCGCTTCAACCGGATCTGGGAACATAACCGATTTTCGAACATGGCTATGATTGGCGGCTGTGGTGGATCCACCA